AGGACACTAAAGAAAGAAATTGAAGAAGACCTTAGAAAATGGAAAATTCTCCCATGTTCTTGGATAAGCAGAATTAATACTGTCAAAATGGCCATACAACCAAAAGTGTTATAAAGATTTAATGCAATTATTATTTAAATCCCAAATGACATTCTTCATAGAACTAGAAAAAGCAATCATGAAATTTATTTGGAAAAATAAGAGACCCAGAATAGCCAAAGCAATCCTTAGCAAGAAGAGTGAAGCAGAAGGACTCACAATACCAGACAGTAAACTATACTACAGGGCCATAGTTAAAAAGATGACATAGTATTGGAACTGAAACAAACATGTAGACCAATGATACACAATAGAAGACACGGAGATAAACCCACATGAATGCAGTTATCTCATACTAGACAAAGGCACCAAAAATATTCATAGGAGAAAAGATAGCCTCTTCAGCAAATGGTGCTGGGAAAACTGGAAATCCATATGTAGCAAGTGAAATTAAACCTCTATCTCTCACCATGCACAAAAATCAAATCAAAGTGGATCAAAGACTTAGGCACTAGAACCGAGACTCTGCACCTAATATAAGAAAAAATAGGCCCGAATCTTCACCTTGGTTACTTAGGACCCAACTTCCTGGAAAAGTCTCCTAAAGCACGAAAAGTAAAATCAAGAATTAATAAATGAGATGGTTTCAAACTAAAAACTTCTTCTCAGCAAAGGTAACAATTAAAAAAGTGAAGAGAAAGCCTACAGAATGGGGGACAATTTTTACCATGGGCACCTCAGATAGAAAGAGCATTAATCTCCAGAATATATAAAGAGCACAAAAAGCTTAATACAAAAATAAATATATAACCCAATCAATAAAAGGGCTATGGAACTGAGTAGACAATTCACAGAAGAAGAAATACAATTGATCAACAAATATATGGGATAATGTCCAATATCTCTAGCAATTAGATTAGTGCAAATTAAAACTAAAATTTCATCTCACTGTAGTGAATGACAATTATCAACAATACAAGCAATAATAAGGATTGGCGAGGATGTCGGGGAGGGAGGTACACTCATAGAATGCTGATGGGACTGCAAATTGGTACAACCATTATGGAAAGCAGTATGGATATTCCTAAGAAAACTCAAAATGGAACCACTATTTGACCCAGCTATCCCACTCCTCTGTTTATACCCAAAGAACTTAAAATCAGCATATTACAGTAATGCACACACATCAATATTTATAGCAGCTCAACTCACAATAGCTAAACTATTGAACCAAACTAAATACCTTACAACAGATGAATGAATAAGGAAAATATGTTTACATAATGGAATATTACTCAGCCTTAAAGATGAATGAAATTATGACATTTGCCAGTAAATGAGTGGAGCTGGAGAAGATCATGCTAAGAGAAATATGCCAATCCCCCCAAACCAAAAACCAAATGTTTTCTGTGATATGCAGATGTTAATTCACAGTAAGGGGTCAGGGGCTAGGGAAGAATAGAAGTACTTTGGATTAGATAAAAAGGAGTGAATAGAGGGGAGGATTTATAGGGTAAGAAGATAACAGAATGAATTGGACTTTAATAGCTTAGGTGCATATGTGTCTAGAGGACCAGGGAGAGCCTACATCATGTACAATCAGAAGAATGAGAAGCTATACTCCATTCATGGATGCTGTGTCAAAATTTATTCTACTGCCATGTATAATTAATTAGAACAAATAAAATTAAAAAGAAAGAAAATCCAGAAAACTTCAATGTGAGTAAACTGAAGCCAAAAAATCATGTCTTTTATGTAATCAAATTTTCATGAGATGATTTTAATACAGCATATGCAGTATTAGAAACAATTGAGTGAAGTTAGCTAAATTACAGCATCCTCTAAATCTAAAGATTCATTAAACTATACATGCATATTCACAATTTATTGAAAAGCAAAAAGCCAAATGTTGAATATCTTGTCAATAACAATGGCTTGACAAAAGTTTTGATTTTACCTCTTTTCAGACTCCCTCTGAAATAAGAAGAATGATGTATATAAAGGAAAAAATTTATAATGTAAGTGAGAATGGTTTGACATCACCATGCTACTGCTGTGAATTTTTTGAGTGTAAAGTAGTGGAATTTTACTAAAGAAGAGAGGAAATGTAAACCTGTCTTGAACAAGAAGAGTCTGCAGAAAAAATTCAAATTTCTGAGAAGCTCCTAATTGCTTATTCCAGACTCACCAGAGCTAAAGCAAGACTCCACGGGTTGCATACCATATATTCGCCTTCATTTCAACCTTCTCATAGACAGTCATAACAGTGGATGAAATAGTTGATTATGTTTATTAGTTTTTTGTATGTTATAATAATGAATAAGTGACCAAATATCTAGATGACAGGACACCATGAGTACAATGGAAAAAGTATTCAGCAATAAAAGTCAGCAAACAATTTATATACAACAACATGGGTTCTATGGGAAGAGAGTTGGACAGTTGCTTGAATTTGGTCCTTTCCTTCGATTTCCTGGGATTTGATGGCATCCCTCAAGGAAACAAAAATGGGGAAAGTGATAGCTTTTAATCTTGTGATAGCTTTTAATCTTGTGATATGGATCTCCAGAAATGAACGTAAAACTCATTTGGTTAAAATACTGCTATTTTTCATGTCCTTTAGAACAAACATGTTGCTAGATATTTTATCCCTGGAATTTTGTCACATTATATCCCAGGACTTACTCCTAGTAAGAAGAAAACACATAAGTCATTTTCAGTGTACAGTGATTTAGTGTTAAAGGAGCTTAAAGTATGGGGCTAGAGCTGGAGCTCAGTGGTAGAGTGCTTGCCTAGAACATTTGAGGCACTGAATTCAATCCTCAGCACCACATAAAAATATTGTGTCCATCTACAACTAAAAATATTTTTTTAAAAAAGAAACTTAAGGTAGATTGACATGCAACAATCATTCTAGGCCTAGAAATTTACTTGAAATCATTTTAAAATTGAAAAAAAAGGGGGGTGCATCCTTCCTGAATTCATGCATTTGTGCATTAGGTTCACTGTGATTTTAAAAATATTTCACAGATACTTATGTAAGCCTTCACGTATGTAAGCCACTGTGCTGTGCATGCCATAATGTAAAGAATTGTAGGAATTACCGATTTTAATCTATAAAGAAATTTTGGAGCCCAAATACGTATTATCCACGGATGAGTCTGCTTAAGAATAATAAATAAACTCTAAATGTTTTAAGTGTGTAAGTAGTTGTATCCTCTTTTCAATAATCTGAAAATACATCATGAAAGTTTCTCATGGCAGATAGTATTAGAGGAAGGCATATCATCACAATCGTAAAATAGAAAGGGGTAGTTGGGGGAGGAGGAATTCTGTGCTGACAGTCCTATAAGAAAAAAGCATTACCTCAGAGGGAAGTATACACAGAAAACTTTCAGTAACTCATTTTAGTTATAATATAGGTTTCATTTGGAGAATTGTGTAGGAAGACATTGCAGAGGTAAACCAAAGTTACATTCATAAGAAACTTAAATAATGCTAGCTTCCATGAGCAAAACTAGGGTATGGAGTAAACCTATATGTTTATTTATATTTATATAGGCACATCTACATGTCTATCATATAATCTGTACATACTCATGAAGAAAAAAAAAAAAAACCTCAGCAGATCCAAGTACCTATAACACACATGCATATAATCTGGTAGCAATGACAATCCTCTAAAAGACAGACATGATTTAATCTGAGACTTGGGTATAAGGAGGAAAGAGAGTTGATCAGCAGGATGAAAGAGATGAGAAACTAGAGTTTGGAAACACAGGAGAGTATTTTTTAGGAAGAGGGACTCAGTTATATCAGTAGAAAATGCACGGAATTTCAATGTGGAGAGGTAAATGGCAAGGATAGAACTGTAGATGAACCACTCATTATATTTAAATAGTATGCAGAGTGAGTACAGACAACATCCAAGGATTTTTTTCTTTCCCAGCCACACCCTGGGCACTATTGGTCACATAATTTTACCAATGCTTGAAACTTTTGCAAAATGCATCTAAAGTTCCTTTATGTGAACAACACATTTCAATAATCTTTAAATGCTATTATTTTTTTCTTTTATTTTTCTTCTTTTTTCTTTTTTTCTTTAGGAAGTTTCAAAACTTTTCCCTTCTAGTCTGCCAGTTTTCTTTTTTTCTATATCCATCCACACTTAATTCTTTAATCTATTAAATTTCTATATTGGTAAGGGTCTTTGGATTGTCCAAAAGAAACAAACACAGCTGCAAAGGGACTTAGAAAGCAAGAGAGACAAAGAGAAGCAACTCACCTCTTCTCTTTACTCAGAGAAGCACACTGAGATAAGAACATTCTCTTTTGGTTTATAACTGTACTCACTACTTTAATTTCTTTCTAATTATATACAAATTTTTTTGGTGTGATGTGGGAGTCCAGTTACTCCAAGAAGGCTAAGTCACTATTTCTCAAAAATAGAAAAAGAAAAAAGAAAAGCCCTTTTTGTGACTGGTAGATTTCCTGGGGTTTTTCTTTTGCTCACTCAAACACAAACCTGCAATCACACTAGAGCAAATATGATATGATCCCCTATCTATATAGCACTATTATGTATAAAGAATCATACTTGGGTTCTTTTGAGAGGACGTACACTATATTAATAATCTCTGTAAATATATAAATCTAAATAAATAATAACAATATAAATATCAGTATAAAATAAAAGAACATAAAACTATCTAAAATCTTTTCACTTTTTTTTGCCTTACTTACTCTAGTATGACATGAACACTTGGATTGATATTTATTGTTTATCTATGAATAATATAAACAAATATTTAAGAAGTTAATAATGTCTCCAAAATTAACTCATTAATTTTTTAAAACAATAATAATTACAAACCTATTTAGTACTATTGAAAACATCCACAATTTGCCTCCACAATTTGGTGACTGTTTTAATAAAAGGAGAATAAATATTAATAAGAGATCTACATATTTCTTTTCAGCATTTTTTTCAGGGAATCTATGACCTGCTTGTTTCTCAGGCTGTATATCATGGGGTTTAACACAGGAATTATGACAGTGTAAAACAGAGAAAAGATCATATCTTGGTCATCTGCTTGTGAAGATGCAGGATGCACATACATGAAGAGAAGGGGGACGTAATATAAAGTCACAGAAAAGAGATGGGCTCCACAGGTAGAGAAGGCTTTCCTCATGCCTTTTTCAGACTTCTTTCTTAAAATTGTAAAAAGAACTAGTGAATAAGAAATAAGAATAGTCACAATGCTAAATACTTGTATTGAGCCAGAGAAAATAAAAATTATTAGATAATTAAGAGAAGGATCAGTACAGGAAATCTTTAATAATGGTATAACATCACAATAAAAATGATGTACTATGTTGGAATTACAGAAGGTTAATCTGAATAAAAAGCTTTCATGAATTATAGCATGAAGCAATCCACCTACAAATGATAAAACCAGTAGTCGGAAGCATAGTATATTGGTCATAATCACAGGATACAGTAAAGGTTGACATATGGCTACATAGCGGTCATAAGCCATTGCTGCCAGGAGAAAGCATTCTGTGGTCACACTAATTGCAAAGGAAAAAAATTGTATCATGCACTGAGGGAGAGAGATCATCTTGCTCTTGTCTAATAAGTTCATTAGCATCTTTGGGGTCACTGTTGATGACAACCAAGTATCCACAAATGCTAAATTCCCAAGGAAAAGGTACATGGGGATGTGAAGCTGAGGGTCATTCCAGATCAGAGAAATCAGACCAAGGTTTCCCACAAGTGTCATAAGGTATATTGCCAAGAACAGTAGGAACAGGGGGAGTTTCCACTGTGGTTGTTGTGTCAGTCCTCTGAGAACAAACTCTGTCACCAAAGTTGCATTGTCCTTTTCCATGTCCTCACTGAATGTCACCTGTAATGAAATGAAGTGAATGTAAAAATGTACATGGGAAAGAGAGAATTAAAATTGCAAAAGCATCCTATGGCAATAATATCAACTTTACAGCAAATGCATCCTCCATCTGCCACAATGGCATAGTCGGTGAATGTTTGGGGTCTACAGTAGTAAAATTGACATATTATTTATGATCTTTGCCACTAATTGGATCTTTGCATTTGTCTGTCCCTGTCCAGCTTATTCCTTCAACTTCTCTAGTATTTCTTGCTTTGAGCCAATTTCCATTTAATTCAAAATTATTTCTTATCACAACCTTAGAGCCCCCAACAGAAGAGATAAAAAGAGAAACCAGAAAATAAAATACTGATCAGAGTGATCCCAAAAGGAAAGGTAAAAATGGAAAAGGGATTTTGTGGACAGAAACCAAAACAACATGGAAAGTGAAGAATGGTGCTAAATACAACAGTGAATGATCTAGTGGGATGAGAATTAACAGAGATAATGGAGTGTAGAAATTAAGAAAGTTTCAGTAAGTTTAGACACAGCAGTTTTTGTTAGGCAATAGAATTAAGTTCAGAGAGTTATTGAAAGTGCAGTGAAGAAAATGGTATGAGTGCACCCTGAGCTGTATGCAGAGCAGTTGGTGTTTTCATCTGGCATGCCACCAAATATAAAATTTATTTACTGCATAGCATTTCAATAAAATTTTCAAATGAGTCATCAAATGAGACAAGTTGAGAAGAAAAAAGCAGAGGAGAATTAGAAGTGGAAAAAGAATTTGGGGGCCCTGTGGTTGTGGCTCAGTGAAGTGAAGCAATCACTTCACATGTGAGAGGCCCTGGGTTTGATCCTCAGCACCACATAAAAATAAATAAATAAAATAAAGGTATTAAAAAAAAGTTTGGGGTGAGTGAAAAGAAAACAATAGAGAGGAAGAAAAATGGGTAGAAAATAACAGACACACATGAATAAACATAAAATGTGAGATTTAAAAAAAGGTTCAGATATTTGGATATAGATGTTTGTCTTAAGCCTGAATTATTCATTAATAGTTGTCAACCAAAAGAATCTTATCCTTTTATTTCTATTCAAAGTTCATTTTTTTCCCTTAAGGAATTTTTGTTTAAAATAGAAGATTTAAAATCTTGCTTTAAAACTATTTAAAAGTAATTTTGCTAGTATTACTGAATTTTAAAGTTGCTTTATATTTAAGTATAAGCATAATACTTAAGCTACAGTTTTAATGATTAATAATATTCCATTACATACTCATAATATGACCAAAGAGTAGGTTTTAGGTAATGTCACCACAAATAGCAACAAAAAAGTAACTCTATGACATGATGGGATGACCATCTGCTTGAATATAGCAATCACTTCTCTACATGAATGTGTACAAAAACATCATGTGATAAAACTAAAATATACATGATAAGACTTTTTAAGTTTCCTTATCTTTGTTAGTACAGTAACTGAAATGAACTTCCTCTAGAAATTCTACTTGTTTAACTTGAGAGTACTTTCCTCCCCCAACAGCCCTTTTAGCAGAATAACATGTAACCAGTTATGGGAACCTAAAAAAGCAATATAAATAAACAGTGGCAATGGTGAGAGTTGAGTATACTTCATTTAGAGAGGGGTATTCCAGTCAATTCCTAATCACTAGATAATCAAAAGCAATCACATTCAATTTTTGAAGACATCTTAAATCATAGGTTCTATAAAGAGCAGTGTAAGAACATTTTTATGTTATTTCTTACCACATGCATATAAATGATCCAAAATATACTTCAGAAGGTGTGACAGTAGAAAACTAGTATTTATGTGACATCTTAAAAATTTTAATCAGAAAGCCAAACATTGAATGTTTTCTCTGGTATGAGGAAGCTAACCCACAATAATTAGGGGCAGATGAGGGGAAGAATAGAAGTGCAGTAGACTATATAAAGGGGATTGAAGGGAAGGGAGAGGGATAGGAAAAAAAAAGTGGAATGAATCTGACATAATTTTCTTATGCACATATACGAAAACAACCCAGTGAAACCCATCTTCATGTATATTCATCAGAATAAGATCATAACTGGGATAATATACATTCCATACTGGTACAACTATATCAAAATTGATTCTGTTATATATAACTAAAATGAACTAATAAATTAAAAAATTAATTAGACTATATGGATAATTAAACACAATGGGTCTTTTTATCAGAATCATCAGAAATATTTTTCATGTAAAAATAAGTACAAATTGAATATTTAACCTATTTAGAATTATTTAACATCCTAGATGACCAAATAAAGCTATTATAGTTAGATTAACAAGATAATAGGCACATCACTAAAGGAAATAAATCAGTCTTACAGCATTTTTGCTTATTCAGATTTTAGCACAGAAGTGAATATGAAGATAGTGCACCATTTTCCATTTTACCTGGCTCTTACAAACCCAACCTAAAGTGTTATAAGATAAATGACAATTTCTAATAAAAAAGAAAAAGATAATTTTAAAATTCAGAATTCATTTCTATCTTACCAATAAATTGAAAGAGATTGTGGAGATCCTTTAAAATTATTAGGCTTTATAAAAGAGAAAGAAAATATAATAGTATAGGATTGATAACAACAAAAGTAACAATTCTTTGCAAACTCACTCATTTCAGGTGTTTAATTTCCCAGTCTCAAGAAAATGCTTATATAAGATTGACTTTGAACAGAGTCAACTAGTTGTATAACTGCGTGCTTTCTTCAAATTGGTACGAATAAAGTTCTGCAATTCCCTGGAGTGCCATTGGGTTCCCTGTAGGACAAGTGAAGTTGTTCTACTGGACACTGTGGATTTGAACAAGTATTAGAACTCTGGGTTGTCCCACTGGCATCACCAACTCTGGAATCGTAAATATCAAGTCACTGTCAACAGTTTTAGTTTTAACAAAAAACAAAAACAAAACAACAACAACAACAACAACAAAAAAAAAAACTGGTTGACTGGCATGTACAGGAGCCGTGGTTTGATCCCCAGAGCTACAAAAGAAAAATATTGTACTTTATTACAGTATTGCTATTCCTCACAAAGGGCACTCATGACATGTTTATGGAAACTTCCATTTATACACTATTCCCAGTGTTTTTATTAGTATGCTTCTCAGCTCATTCAAACATGAATTTAAGTGGGTCATCATCTTTTATGAATTCAGAATTCAATCCCAAATAAGTGTTGTTCATGCAAAAGCAATTTAAAACTCCAAAGTATTCCTAGCCTTCCTACTTTATGCTGAAACTTGAGGAGAAATCTTATTAGGCAGTTGTTAGTAGTAGCAGCTAAAGAAGACTATTCAGATACATAATTTGTGAATATTTTCTCAGGGATAGCAATCACTTTCTCATTCCATAAGACACCAAGCTAGTTCTTTCCACTGGTGATATTGTGCTAATTAACCTAATGGAAAAGAAACATTAATAACCCTAGACTTACCACTTAGACATTATTATGACAAATAGTGGGAAATAAATCAGATAAAATTCTAGAGTCCTTCTATCTCAATGAATTTTCTCATGATTTAGTGATATAAGATACATCAATATATTCCTTCTCAGGTGAAGCATAAGTTATTGCATCTGGCTCCTAAATAAACAACCAAAAATATTCAAAAATTCTAATGAGGAATTTGGATTTTAACTTCATTAATTCCATTTGGGTGTATCACTCTGACCCACTTACAAAGAGACCCAAACAATTGCTACATTTAAGAGGAATTCAAACAGGAGAAGGGTGTTCTATCACTTGGGTCATACGATTTAGGGTCCAGTGGTGTTTCAATTGAAAATGGCACTTAGGAAAGCTTGTTGAGCCTGTGGCAGGCCAATTTAGGTGAATTACAATGTGGAACCATAGGATGTTGAAGCAAACCCTGTTTCAGCAAATATTCACTCTCCTTATGAGAAACAGTCATTAGCATGTGATTGAACTTTAGTAGAGGAAATGATTAATCTTGAACCACCAATTTACCTGTGACCTGAGATTCTTATCATGAAATGGATGCTATGTTACCCACCAAATCATATGTTGGGCATGCCATCATCAAACGAAAGTAGCACATACATGTTTGGAACTAATTACAAACTGAAGGGACTATGAAGTTACTTGAGAATATCTAAATTCCACAGTCCCACTTTTGTAATACTGACTTCTCTCTTCCACCTTGAATGTATGGCTGAAAGTTTGTATGGTCAGTTGAAGAGTGTTCTTAGTTGAAGAGTGTTCTTAGTCAGTGTTCTTACTTGTTCACTTGGTTTTTCAAGGGCACATGGCCTTGAAAATTATATACCAATTATATACCAATGAATTGAGTTATCACTAATGGACTGTCTCAAATGGGGCCTGAATGGAACCTGATTGGAAAATTGCTGATGAGAAAATTTCAGGCAATGTGTGGGCTCACTCAGTCCAGCTGAAGCCCACCAAATAGCTAAGAAGGGTGTGGTGATGGAGTTGAAAAGAGACCTCCGGAGACAAATTTCAGAGAACTCAATATACTTTATTATTGCATAGGCAAACTTTTTATGCATAGCTTGTTACTGGGCAAAGTAGCTGAGAGTTGTAATAATCCATGAGCTAGCAACACATTTATGAGCGGCAACCAATGGGCTAATAGGTCAGTGGCAGAAAAGCAGAAGGGAAGGAACATGCTGTGCATCTGAGGGAGGCCAGGTTACCATGGTGATGGGGCTGAGCATGGTTAGTGTTCTAACCACAACATCTGAATTCACTGTGCTGAACCCTGAAAGCCCCTCACATAGGCAGCATAGACTGCTTTCCAACTCATGGGCCCAACATTTCCCACTTTGAATTTGCTGCAAGTACCTCAGCAACCATGGACAGCTCTCTGTTCAGCTAGCTATTCTTTGGCATAATTGTCTAATGATGCAATAAAACACAATGAGTAAGGAAGCAAGCAGAACCAATATAATAACATTATAGGGGTAATAACCAATTTAGAAAGCATGTTTTCCCAGTGCTCAGTCAATCCCTGAAAGAAAGAGGAGGCTGTTATGATAGACACCTTGGTCTCATTGATTTTGACAAAGGCCTTAGTGAGATTATGCATAGTCAAAACATAGTTAGTTATGTCCAAGCATCCTTAATATACTGAGAAAAATTGGAGAAGTGTGAGGTTATGTTTTCTGACATAGCATATTGGGTGACACAAATACTATGAAATTCAGAGTCACAAGTGAGCCTTTGCAACATAAACAGTATATTTAGTTGTTTTTGGTGGAGATCTAGTTTTTGCTGAATGACTAAAATAGCAGTTCATGACAGTTTATTTAAGTCTTTTCGAATGACAAAGACTTCTGCTGTGGTAGTAGACAAATTGTTTACAGCAATGGCAGTCACCAGGGCAATAATCCCAGCGATGATGAGGCCAATTGCATGCCTTGTCTGGTGCAGAATCTTATTCAGAAGATTCTTCATCTCCATGTCCCATGGACTTCTCCATTCTCTGGACAGGTTCACTGGAAACAAGATTGTGGGGTCACTCTGAAGATAAATATATGTTTAGCTTTCATAGAAGGGGTTAGACAATTTGTGAGCCAGCAGGACTGTACAAGGGATTTCTGTGTGAATGACATTTATGTCATCAGTAACATTGATTATTAGCATAGCAAAGGGTAGTATAACTATCTGCGCATATTAGGTATGGGTATAATTTTGGATAAAGGTAAATCCATGGTTAGGGCCTTTTCTCAAAATTGACCCATTCATCTAGTTGGCTGTGGCCTATTTTATGGTCCTAGTGGCCAGCAATATTGGCATGACATATTGATTTCTTGCATAATGGTTGGTAACAGATTGTCCAGTGTAGCAGTTACTGCAGTAGCCTATATGATTTTGGGACACATCATGTTGGGGATGCAAATCAAGTCAAGATGGCGCCTGGCACTTTGCCAGGAGGAGTGGTTTGTGAAGCAACGCCAGCGAGCCATTAAGATGATGAGGATTCCTTATTGGCTGACTGCTGTATCTAAATGATGTTAATTAAGTTAAGCTGTGTGTAATTAGTTAAGTATATATACCTCTGCTGTCCGGCAGAGAAGCGGCTCCTGTTACCTTGGGTGCCTGCTACTTTGAGTTCTCACTCAGTTCCTGCTGAGTTCACTCGCAATAAAGTAGTTCCCACTTCAACCTTCAAGTTGCTTGTCACCTCTCGTTATTTTGCCCAGCCGGACTATGGCAACATCAGAGGTATTCCAGGGAGCTGTGCCCACCCAGGTGCATAGGTATTGTTCTTCCTGGAGATATTCCTATTATCAAGGAGATAAGGTCTAGATGTGATGCATTGATTCCAGGGAATGTTATCATTATCTGAGGGGGGCTTTCCAAAAAGCGTCTTAGAGCATGTCAGCAGCAAGGTTTTTTTTTTTGTTTTGTTTTTTGCATTTACCATGGCGGGGGATATCTATGGCTATTGGCAGCATTAACTATAACTCTAAGGTCAATGAGAGATAGCCCAACATATGACTTGTTATATTTATCTACAATAATTTCCCTAGTAAGAGCAAAACAAAGGGGGTTGTCTTGATTATAGGTCTCATTATCAACTATTGAGAAACAAATTGGCAGAGTAGGCATGGGGATACTCGTATTCCACTGTACGGCTGTTATTTGACAGATAACTTAGGATCAATAAGGTTAGAATAATTGAAAAAGTGTTTAGGTAGGGCTCCTTCCCAATTGGCCACTGCTAAAAGTAGTGGCCTAGTGACCAAAGCCCAATTTACTTGATAGGAAGCTTCACTGCTAGCAGTGAGTGCCACACACAATTGGATCAGTATCATAGGCCCAGGGATGAGGTTGCCACCAGGTGAAGGGGCCAATCTGGTAGTTTGGTCAAAAGACTTTAATATCACCCCAGGTTACTTTATGTGAGGTCTCTATGCATTGTTGAGTCCTTTGTTTGTGAGAGTTTTCCTCCAGAGTTAGTTCCTTCCTCTTGCTTGACTGGTGGTTTTGGGGGTCCAGAGCTTGACTTTTCTGGCAGGCACCCAGATGGGGTGAGGCTCCTGTTAACAAATGCAAACCCTTGACCCATTGTTAGGAGGGGGTCCAGACTATTTCATGCATTTGTTATGGGATCCTTTCATGAGACCATAGGCAGATGGGAGGGCCTTGTAAGGGGGACCCAATGCTTATGGGCTGTTGTTTCCGTAGAAAATTTTGAAATTTAAAGAAAATTTTATGTAAATAAGGTTTTGTTCAAGGCATTATGAGGGGACTTGGTATAGTTTTTCCCCCCTCTGTTTTTGTAGCATGGTCTTTAATTCCTTGTGTATTCTTTCTATGATGCCATGAGCCTGAGGGTATAGGGAATGCCAGTTAAGTGCTTATATGCCAATCGGTGCAAACTACCTGAAATGTCTTGCTAGTATAGGTTGGTCAATTGTCAGTTTTAATAGACATAGGAACACCCATGTTTCCAAAACATTTAAGGAGATGGAAGGACAACCTGTTTTGTGGTTTCTCCTATGGAGGCTGTGGCCATTACACAGCCTGAATAGGTATTGATGACTATGTGAATATATTTTAAATTTCCAAAAGATGCATAAAGAATGACATTCACTTGCCATAAAGCATTAGATTTTAATTCTCGGGCTTCACTCCAGCAGGTTATAAAGGGCCAATGGGGAGAAAGGATGCACTTTTTTTTTTTTTTTGCAGTCTCTGACTAGCTGTTTGCAAGCCTCCTTAGTCAGTTCTGGAAATAATTTGTGGAAGCTCTAGGCATTCTTGCCAGAACTGTCCTGTTCCTCCTCACCCCAACAAGTGGAGCTCCTTCTTCCTCTATTATTACCTTGTTCCTGTTTTAGTACAACTGCCATGGCTGAGGCCAGCAGAGAGGCTTGAATTGCTTGTGTCTCTATATCCTACATGGCCAAAATCCAGTCATCAAGGGTGCCATTGCGCACTGGTGCAACAGTAGCCCTATGCTCCCTGTTTAATCCTTCCCAGATTAACTCCTTGGTTAGGGCTTCCCTAGCTTCTGCATGACATACTTTCCCTTCCACTGCCCTGTTTCCTCTATCGGTAAACTGCAACAAGTCTTTAGTGGCTTTGTGCCTTAGGCCCTGTGTAGAAACTCTACCTCCCCTAGCTGGTAATTTCCTTCAGGCTCTTAAAGCACAGAGCTGCACCTGATCAAAATAATTTGGTGGACCACTAGGGGAACTGTAGATTCCCGCTCCCTGCAAGCATTCATCTGGGAGGTTAACATTTGAAGTGTGGTTGCAATCCCCCCTGTTGATCACATGCACCATAGAAAAATGCCTTCCACTTTAGTTATGTCAAAGGTTTAAGGGCAGCTCTTGCCAAGTCTTTCCAATCTTGTGGGCAGTTTACATTTAGACTAAGTGTCTCAAGGACTTGTTCAGCAAAGGGACCCATATGTCCATCCTCCTTCATTTCCTTCTTAAACTCCTTTAATGTA